TGAAAAATCTGTACTGACTTTCCCCGAATGAAATTTATTAAATGAAAACGACGTGTGCCAATTACGACAGGCAACACTACAAATCTAAAAGCCCCGGGTTCTATTCCCCCCACGGGCCTTTCTCTTCTCATTTACTTATAGAGCCTGCGCGCCTTAAAGACGATATAGGTCTCCGACCAAGAGCCGCCGACGACACCGCTTTGCTCGAATGCAAACTTGACCAGTTAGGGCCGCGATATAGCGCAGGGTTAGCCGAGAGAGGCACACACCGCGGTAACACAGAGGAGAAGCCTTGATGAGAAGCTGACGTCAGGTAACTGAAGCCGCCAGGAATCGAACCAACGGCCTCCCGCATGACAACCAACAAGACTAACCTGTCGATCACAGCAGCGACATCCCTTCCCTCAGCCAGAGCTGTCACTATGAGGCTCGCTCCCCTCCTGCAGTCCCCAGCGGCAAACACGGGAGCTTCCGTGCCAATTCCACTCAGACTCGCACTGTTAACTATGTAACTGACCAACAGCATCACTCACGATTCACATAATCGATCAATTGGGCGCGCGCTAAACCCCAACCCCACCTTCCGTATTCGGCATCGAAGCAACCTTCTTTGCGTGGAAGAGCTCCTTGGTCGACCACCTGGTCAGGTCCGGTGAACCCCATCGCTAGCAGAGCCAGGTCGCAGGGATAAGTGTGTTCCGAACCTGAGCAGGAATAAAGTGATGTCCTTGAAAGAATCGCGATGACCGCTACAGTGCGTGTCAATTTGATATGCAAATATGTGTAGAGCAAATGATAGTGAACAAGTTGTCGCTATCATCACAGTCCCAAACGGGTACTCTCATCATCACAACACATGTTCATAGCCATCGTCACATTGTATATGCGATATATCGATTATCATTAACCTCGGGAAATAACACACATTCGCTATCAAATTCACACGTACTGTCACAGATCACAGTCACGAGGAGTCTGCAAGAGATATGAGCGACAGTGTACATAGAAAATAACTACATCAACTGATTCCACCAGAAACGCCATTTAAATGCTGATGAGAGCCTTCATGAAAATAAGTTTGCTCCCATCGAAATCCATATAAGGCATTCCACTATTCCGAAAATAGCATTTCTAGGCAATAGCATT